GAAAAAATATAAAAATCTCAAAATTATCATATTGCGAAGATTTTATGTTACCAACACCCCTTAAAGAATGTTTCCGTGGAGAAGATGTTAAAACAGTCTAAGAAGTTGCTTCCATCCACCAAGACGCATGCTAATGGCGATCTTTTTTGTTTGATTAGCGGACGATAGTTGAAGGCAGCCAAGCGGCGTACCAGTGATCTGCTGCTCCGCCAAAAGCAGAATTTGAGCTTGAGATTCCAATCTTAGTAGGGGGGATTTTAGTTATAGCGAAAATGCACACATGCGACTAATATACGTTGCTGTTAAGGTATTCGACTACGTTCGGAACCGTGATTTTTCAAAAGTGTGTAAATGGATAATATGTATGATATTTAGTATCAATTAGATTAGTAAATGTATATAAAATTGTCCTAAGAATAGTATTACAAAAAACATTATTTAAGTATAATATTTTGACAAAAAATTACATGGAATGACCCATTTTCAAAATATTCTCCTTTTGTGAAAAATGCTTCAAATATAATAATATTTTGCCTGCTATAGATCAGATCTCTAGACAGAGGCTCAACTAGAATTTTTGAAATATACGAGTATAACTCATAAGTGGGTTTATCCTTGTCTTACGACAACAGAGGGGGGAAATTTTAAGAAAAAAATGCCAATAATTATTTCAATTGGTGGTAACTCTGAATATGTAATGTGAATTTTTCAAAAATCATTGTTGAGCTTCTGTACAGATGACTAAGCTATATACAGGCAAAATATTATTATAGGGATTATTAGGGAAACAATTAAAAACTGGGGACTTTTTAAATATATTAATTTGCTTTCGCTTCTAAAAAAAAAAGTGGGGTTTTTTGTATTCAGCAACTTATCCAAATGCATATTTAAATATACCAATTTGTTATCTGAAAGTCATTGCTTACACTATTGGGATTTTATAATTTCCTCCCATGTGGTCTCTTGTACACTGTAACTGCATTAATACGTCATTTAATATTACAGAGCATTCATGCAGAATATCTATATTACGATCTTTCTTTCTAAACAAATCATATTAATTCGAGTGATTAATAACCTTCGCCAAAACATTCAGAATTATTTTAAACATAGAATATACTGTTACACCTGAGCATAATGCATTCATCGACACAATAGATTGTTCCGCATCGCAAAACTTTCGGTTAATTGTAATTTCACTTCAATTACAAAATATGAATTTTATGGTAAGTATTAGTGTTTATATTTCTCATATTTCATTTTTTTCATTAGTTTAATTATGGTTTCCAGAATCTTTTCCGTGGAGACATTGAAAGGGAATATAGAGTACGCTTCAGTAACTCAATTACTTAGCTTCTTTTGACAGTAACAGACTGCGCTGCCACCCAGGCATAATTAATTTGTTTTCGAGTTATTGAGATAGATCTTACCGAATTAAAAATAAGCGCAACCAATGAAAGAATCCAGCGATGCTTGATAGTTAATACTTGTGGAGGATAATATTATTGAGGCTCATTATTATATCGAGAAATAGGGTGGTTAAAATATCAATATTTTTTCATTCATTGTTTGCTTATTAAGGCAATTTCTTTGAAACCTACTATGTTGAAATATAATATAAACGTTTCTATAATTTAACTTTTATGGTTGTGTGGTTAGAGTTATATGATTCTTAAATGAAATCACAAAAAACCTTTATATTTTAAACACTTTGAAAAAGTTGTTTTCCACATATCAGTGTAATAAAGATGAATATGTTTTAATTTTTAATTAAAGTTTAATAGTTTCTTCTTTTAAGAGGATATTGTGTTTCTAGGTATCTGAACAAAGCTCACGGGTACCATTTATGTAATACTAGATGCTTTTATATTGGAATCCCTATACACACAAAAAATTATAAAACCGTAAATTGGAAATATTAATCTTACAATATTTGAATTTTGCCTTCTGAGTGGCGTGGTTGGTTTTTCGCTGGCCCTCTGCACCCAAAGTTGCAGGTTCGACACGGGCCCAAGTTGGTGGATTCCCCTGATGCAGAAATAGATAGAGTCCATGTCGTGTGATTATATGACATGTAAAAGATTCCTAGAGTGTCTATCTGACTTTGGCTGGTACAGTAGTTACCCCAGTTTCCTCTGGGGAGGAAACTGGGCGTCAGAATTACTTGCAGCGTTGATATTCCGTCTATATGGTGCCGCACCAAAAAAATACCAGCTTCCGGGGAAAGTCATACATCTGTAATGGCAAAACACCAATTCGCACTCAAATAAAAAATTAATTTCTATCGAAACTAACTTTCATGTAGAGAAGTGTTTGGCCTGAATGACTTTCATGAAATCTTAGATGATTTCTTTCATCATTTTTGAAAAACATTTTTTTTCCATTTTGTTCAAAATTTAATTATTTTATTTTTATGTTGGTTGTTCTTTCGATTCAGAAAAAAAAGAAAGTATAAATAGAATAAAAGTTTTGAATCCTTGATTTGAGAAAGTAACAGAAATAATTGCGTTTTCTTAAAAGGAATTCATACGAAAATTATTTGAATACTGTATAGCTTAAGTAAGTTTCTTGTTATCAAAATACACTTTGGTATGCTTGTGAATTTTTTTTTCATGATGATTTAAAGCTCTTAGAACTATCACTTGAAAGAACATTTAATTTATCAGCCAATTAAGACTTAAACACTTATTTTTGACTTCTATAACTAATGACAAAAATAGTATTATTACATTGAAATATGTTAATACTTGCTTAAAAATAAATTATGTTTTGTAATATTCTTCACATTGAACAGATTTTGAAAGTTTGACTCGAATTTATTCATTTTTAGCAAATACCAAAATAATGGAAATAATACTTTGTCGGATCAAATTAATTCAAGTTTTATTGAAAATATCTTAGAGTTTTTTGTTATATGTTTATTCATTTTTAAGACACTAAATTTAAATGCAATTGAATTAACTATCAATAGAATTATCTTTGTAAAAATATTTGTTTATTGTACAATATTTATTTGAAAACATGAAACTTGATCTTATTTTCAATTCCAACCTTTAGTTATCTTTCTATCTCTCTTATTTTCTACAAACAAGAGATAAGAATCCAACAAAAACATTCGAAAAACACGTAGACAGTATGAAAATAACACAATGAAGGAACCGAACATGAGCAACCGAAATTAAAAATTATAACTTGGATGCTGTAGTATTATAAGTATTGCTGACTTAGGACAGCTAATATATAAAATAATTTACATAAAAGTGGTGCTGAACATGTTTTTTGTATAGCCAACCTTCCCCGTTATGTAAATAATACTAAGCAAAAATCCTATTGAAAGTAATGGATAGGAATATATAAATCCATTACAACTTACTAAAAATTGCACTTCAAAATGCAAAGCCCGCACTAAATCTGATTGTAATAAAGAAGTTATTGCCAGATTCTGGACCCTAATACAAGTCAAAGCATGTAAATGGCTGAAATGTAGCATTTAACAAAAGTATAAAATGAATAGAAATAAAAATTAATAAGAAAGTTAAAAATTATACCATAACTTTAGTGACACTAGAGAATTTATGAATTAAATAACAATAAGTAATTTTATCTAATATTAGAATATGGAGGTAACTATAACTATGAAATATATAAATTTATAGTAATAAACTATTATTAATCTAAGAATTTTTAATCCTTACTATTTTGAATAGCTTCATTCATATGACTATTAATAAAATCAATTGGGTATTTCTGATTTAAGCAACATTTAATAAAATGTTTATGGTTATTTACTATTTTGATTTTTTGACACAAGAAATTCATTGCGTTGTATATAATTAATAACAATATTTCTGAATGTTGCAACATGTACAATACTCCTCCCAATCAGGAACTTTTATATATATATATATATATATATATATATATATATTTATATATATATATATATATATATATATATATAATATTGAAATTAAATTCTTCTCATTTACCATAAATATTAGAAATTATTACATGATCTTTTAATTTTATATGTATGTCAAGAAAATTTGCTTCATTGTTGTTACTATTTGTCTGTATTAAATTAAGATATACTGAATAAAAATTAGTGTTGGGTATAAAATTGACTTGCTTGCCAAAAACGATTATGCCATCTATATAACGATAAATTTATTATTTAGAATTATTAATGTAACTACTTTCAAAATAATGTAATTATAAATTGGAAAGACATTTTTACACATGGCCACCTTGTGGCAAACATTTAATCTGCAGATACTAGTTATCCTTTTGATATATATAGCTCTCTTTAAGTACAAACCTAAGTAGTGAACTAAATCTATCACAATTAACATTATAAAATAAATTATCTTTATGTTAATTTACAAGTATATTAATCATATCAATGTATTAATATATCTATATATATAAGGATAATTAATTTAGATTTAAAATTAAATTCCCTATATAACATTTACATTTTATTTTCCAGTACATCTGAAGTCCTAAATTGAACACGCAATTATTTCTCCGAACAGAGGGTCTAACACTTCTAATCCCAAATAATTTTTTAGAGCCCCATATGTCATCATTAACTTTCAAAAATAACCCATAACTAAAACGAGGTACTTAACATATCTGGACATAAGTTGTAAAGCGACTTATACTTTCACTTTGGCGTCCTTTTTCTCTCAGTGACAGACTTACATATTGTCCGCTGAATAAAATTTTTTTTAAACGTTTAGAGTTGTCTTGAAGCATTTCATTTCATATATATATATATATATATATATATATAGTTAAAATTTTCAACCGTTAATAAAATAATTTTATTCATCTATTCAAGTTCAAAATCCGTTTTTTTTTAACTTGTAGTGGATAACTCTCCACGTTAATAGTTTTTTTCAAATATTAATTCATTAATTACATTAAAAATGAATAAATGGTAACTAACAAAAGTAATCGTCCAAGACCATGCATAGAAAGAAAAATCACTAGTTATAATCACTGTAGCACAACAGATAGTGCATTGGACTTCTAATTCGAAGGTCGTGGGTTTGAATCCCACCTGAGATGGCCTAATTTCTGAGAATGTGATTTCTTTGTTCCTATACTATTTTATTAGAATGTTTGTGACGGGCTCACGCGTCATTTCTTTAAAATGTCCTTTGAGTTCTTTGAGGCCATAATTAATAGCAACTCATTTCCCACCAAATCCAAGAAGTGAAGTGTGAAAAAAGGTGCAAATTAAGAACCTTTTAAATATTAGAAGTTAGAGTAGGCGCGATGGCAATTTGTCGCAGTTTATGGCAAGTAGAGAAATGTTAATATAGTTCGTGGTTCAAGTTTGGATAAGGTTACGTGGTGGTGATTAGAAGTTATGAGTGATAAAGTTATAGATGACCAAGGTGCATACCAGTACACGCAAGTAAATACAAGATAGCATTTATATTAGTGATTGATTCTTCTGACTACAACAAGGTAAGATTGACTATTTAATATTAAAGTCAGTGACTGTATTGGAATCGAGTTTAGGCGATTCAGTTATGGATAGTGGTCCGAGTTAGGTTAAGTTGTTATCTATCTATATTGTGATTTGTGTATCTTACCATCGTAGATTCTCCAACATTGATTATTATAATTTAATTTGTTAAAAGTTTAAGCTGAATATCTCAATAAAGATATATTAAAATAATTTTTGATTCTAGTTCTTTCGTTAATTCTACGCCTCAACTCACGCTGATACTCCGAGAGATATCCTCCCAAGGGGCGGAATATAACATGTTGTTGTTGTCGTCGT